ATCCATCCATCCATCCATCCATCCATCCATCCATCCATCCATCCACATCCATCCATCCATCCATCCACGATCCATACAGCTATACATCCATCCATCCATCCATCCTTCCATCCTTCCATCCATCCATTCATCCATCCATCCATCCATCCATTCATTATCTTTACCCGCTTCTTCCTTTTCGGATCATTGGTGTCACTTGTGCCCATATCCAACAGTCACTTGGTGAGAGGCGGGGAACACCCTGGACAGGTCTTCAGTCCATCACAGGACCATTTATGACTATTAGTCATTATAAAATATTATGACTCCCCACTGACGTACTGTATATCAGTGGTTCCCAACCCTGGTCCTTGAGGAACACCATCGTGCATGTTTTACTCGTTTCCCTGCTTTGACGCACCTGATTTGAATGAATGGGTGGTTCACTGGCTTCTGCAGAACTTGAAGAAGTTATCAAATCACTGAATCAGGTGTGTTGGAGCGGAGAGACAACCGAAACATGCAGGATGGTGTTCCTCAGGGACCACGGTTGGGAACCACCGTCACAGATTCCAGCTCAGAAACCCTCACACAGGTCTCTCAAGGAAAATACATTTTCTGAACAACAAAACAGAGAAAGCGTGTTAAAACGTTTTATATTTCACATGATTTCATTATAATGACTGCAAACAATAATCAACATTTTTCATGTTCAACAACCTCATGATTGAGTTTGTTTTTCTTTCTTTAAAAAATAAAAGACAAGCATAAACATTAGTCAGACTGTAGCTGACTCTGAGTCCAACCTAAGGGTCAAAGGTCATAGTCAGGGGAGTGCATCTTCATGCTACAACACTAAAGTATAAATATCTGCTTTTTTTTAACCAATTGTATGAATATTATCATGTTTAAACCCACAGCTGTTACACTCTAATTTATTAAATTGTTATTTATTAGGTAATAAATGTGTTCTTTTGTTTATTGCTTGTCCATTTCGTTCACCAGCCTCGAGGAGCGGCCAGTCGACGAGCTCAGGCTCTGTATGACTGCCAGGCTGACCACCACGACGAACTGAGCTTTTTTGAGGGTCAGGTGCTGGTGGTACTGGGACAGGAGGACAGCGACTGGTGGGTACGTATCACCATAGTTTACTCTGACTGGTGCTGCAGCTGATGAGACAGAGAAGCTCTCACCATTAAGAGTAGATTTAGAAGCAGGAAGTGAGTCCACCTGCACGATGTGCAAAGGTCACCCCTCATCCTCCCCTTTGACTTCAGGGATTTTTACATTTTAATCAGTGATCGCTCAGTTTGAGACATTGATCTCGGAGGAATGAAAATATATTTCTGCTCAGTTCTGCACTAACTCCGTTTGTGTTTCTGTGTGCATCTGTTTAGCACGGTTACATAGAGGACGAACCGGACCAGAGAGGCTTGTTCCCGTCCTCCTTCGTCCAGCTGCTCGCTGACTGACGTAAACCAGGACCAGGCCTTGAGGCCAGCACAAATCCAGGTCGCTTCAGAAACCAGAACCCGGTGCTGAAGAGAACCAGACCAGAGGACGACACTTGATTTATGCTGGACCACGTCAAACGTTTGGGTCTTACAGAGCCTGTCCAGCATCCTACAAAGTCACGTGATCGTGGCTCAGTCAACGTTGTCATGACAACCTCAGGCCTTTTGTAACCATGGGAACAATATAAATGACCTTTGAGTGAAAATGTGGTTTTATGTGACTCGGGTCAGGTCGTGTTGCCAACAAGACCACTTCACACAACAGATCTGCTGTGACTCAGAGCTTCAATCTCTAATGCCTTTATGTATTTATAAATTTAAAATATTAATAATAATAAACTAATGAGCACACACATGACAGGGAGTCACATCAAACCATTTTATTCTGAAGTTGTGCTACATTACGTTCTCTATTTGAGCTTATTTATTTATTTATTCAAGTTTTGTGAGAAACTCCAGCAAAATGCTGCCACGTGTCAATCTTCTCTTCCAAAGGATTTTTAGGATACTGAAGAGCAAAGCTCTGAAATCAAAGAAAAACACTCTGGAGCTTTTTTTAGACAGAAATCACACGGAGGGACTGAACGTCTGCGGAGGTGAAGCCTGAAATCAGATCCATCGGGTGATTCCAGCAGCTTTTGTGTCCCAGGACATCATCGCAGCTCACTCACTGAACCCAGCGGCACGTTAAAAAATTTATTGTCTTTGGAAAAATGCATGAAAACATTTTGTTCCACAGGATTTTTTTGTTCTTCATCAGCATCTGAAGTACGTTTTTTTCAAGAATAAACTTCTGGACTGCTTCACAAGCTTTAAAAACAGAAACTCTGAGGATAATCTAGTCCTGGAGGTAAAATAACTCCAAGGAAATGCACTTAATGTAAATGCTGCACCTTTCTATTTTATATAAATAAATTAAAAAAAAAAACTAGGTGCTTATAGACTGTATGCAACAATTTGAATTGTCACAATTTCAAAAACAGCATCTCAGCGCAAATGTAAGTTTTTCAATAAATGCAGATCCTCAGAAGTTCTTTAGAAAATGTGTTGGATCACCACATTTACACTAAACAGGAACTTTGATCATTTAAAATATTGTGCCATTTTAAAAAACTTACCGTTTTTCATGATTGGTTAATAATTGATTATTTTCAAACACAAAACGTCTGAAAAAACTAGAAAGTTCCTGGAGAAACTTTGATGGGGACTGGCCATTTAAAAAATTAGATTTGACAGTAAAATGTGTTGGGGTACAACTTTACTTCAACTTTAAATGGCAAAATATCAAAGAGGTTGTTTTATTTTTAAAAGCTGTGGTGGCCATTTTGTTTTTTTGATGTGGATTCAATAAGTGATGGGGAACATTCTCAACTATAACCATCAAATTTCAGCTCAGTATGTGTAAAACTAGCCGAGTTAAAGCTATTTAAATTGAGCTTTGGTGGCCATCTTGATTTTTTTTTAATCCATTGGGAATGGCTCTACTACTACAACACCAAATTTCAGCTTAGTATCTCTAAAAATGGCTGATTTACAGTATTTTTTCTTTTTAGCTTTGGTGGCCAGCTTGGATAATTGATTTGCAATCAGTCTATAAAAAAAAAGACTAATAAAAATGGTGTAATTGTTTGCAAATTACATCGCCATGGTAACTCGAAATGCCAATAAAATTGCACACATCACGGTGCCGAGCCGGCTGTTTTGATAAAACATTTGTGGGGGTACACATTGCGGTTTGAGCCGCATTAAAGTTGCCGGAAGAGAAAGATATAAAGTTAAGAAACTTTTGTCAGGTGGATAATAATAGGTGCTGCTTAACTAGGCAAAGGTGACTGCTGCACTGCGGCGATATTTCTTATAAAAATAGCTCTTTGTCCAAAGAAGGGAATTGTTTTAGGAGGTGGGTCCTCCTGCCCTCCTCAGGCCCACCAGGTGCATGCTGCTCCTTTACCTGTAAAAAGTAATAAACTCATTATTTGTCTCCTTCAAACAACAAAATAAGGGAATCCTAAGATAATGACACTAATTCTAATCATTTGAAATGTGCATAAGATGAAGAGCTGCTGCACAAAGTTCATTTCCCAGGCCCTCCTTGCAAATGAGATCTGGATCTCAGTGTGGGTTTAATCTGGTTAAAAACAGGAAACGAACGTTGAATAAAGGAAATGAAGATAAACCTTTTACTGGAACATCAGCGCCGCTCTGACATGACGCTCTCTTCAGCTGCAGCTTTTAGTTTCTTGTGATCGGTTTTTTAAAACCATTGCAAAGTGTCTGAAAATGTGGAAATACGTAACACTTTAAATAAAAGTAACTTCATTGTAGCAGCAACAACTCGATGGCTGTGACCAGTTTTGTCAAAACAGCTCATTGTTACACAAAACTAACAAATTGAAGTAACTTAAAATTTACTTCAAGTTGGCAAAAACTACTTATTAAAAGGTGCTCCCTGCAGAGTTGGAGACTGGTCAGAATAAAAGAAAACAAAGTCCAAAAGTTGCTTTTTTTTTCATATTATCGCTGATTAATTTCTAACTAAAATAAAAATTTTAAATCAATATAAAAAATTGTGACCGGTTCATTAAAGAAAGGTGAAAAATGGCAGCGTCCGTGGAGGAGCTGCTTGGGATGGATTGATTTGTGCTCATGCTCTGATTGGTTAGGATAAAAAAAAAAAAAAGTTTTGTTTACATTGAGTGCGTACCCACATTTCAGAGTTGCATATCTGAAAAGCTACGGGAGTAAACTTTTATTAAACTGCATCAACTGATGACGTTCAGAACAATTTAGTTTTATTTCAGTTTGCAGTGAGCACCTTTAAATAGCTAAATTACACTGATGTAGCTTTTCTGCAGACTTTCATAAATTTCCCAGATAAAGACAAAAGGCAGAACTGGATTGTTTCAGGTTTTTATTTTGTTTAAAGTAATGCCGCTGGGTACGTGTTTGTTCATGTTGTTTAAACATGTCCTCCCTGGTTGGTATCATCAGCATGTGATGAAGCTTTCAGGTGTAAAGGAACGTTTACTTTACGACCATCATCTGTCCCAGTCTGAACATCGTGCTGGTTGTTTGTAATCCTATGAAACACGCGTTTACAAAAGAATTCCCATTAGATAAACTTTACATTCACATCCTGCATGAAATCTGATGATTTCCCACTTCACTGGCAGGACGTTTCCACGCCAAGTCCACGTGACAACATTAAAAGACACGTTTTAAACCGGCAGCAGATGCTTCATATTAAACAGACTCAGGGGAACGCAGCAGGTGGAGTTAATGACCATGTTCCAGATGGAAATACAGCATTCTTGATTTGCTACTTGTCTTAGTAGAAACACCTTAAAGTTTCTGCAAACTGTGAAAGTAAGCACGTTTAACAGTAACAGCAGAGCTGCGGTAGCTCGGTGATCAGTACTACGGTCGTGTAATCCTGAGGTTGCAGGTTCGAGCCCAGGCTGCAGCAGGACGGGCATCCGGCGTAAAACAAATTGCCAAATCTTTCATGCGAGTCGCCGTGGTGACCGCCTGAAGGGAGCAGCCGAAAGAAGCTTACTAAGCAAGTTTAACGGTAATTATCCCGACGCAGGAAGCGACAAAGAATGTCTGTAAGGAAACACTAAAAGTGAATCCCGTTTTCTCGGAAAGCGTTGACCACAAAAAAGATTTATTGGACGTTGCAACAAAACCAGATGCTTGTTGCTGCTAACAAACCAGTGATGTGTGGGATTAAATCTGTGACTGGTGTAACAGGACTCAGTAAGGGCACTTTAAGTGACCGTTTTCTAAGTGTGACCTCCGGTCAGGACCTCCAACTTGTTTTCAATGGTCTTTGTAACTTCACGACAAACTTAATAAGCTATTAAAACTACAACAAAGCTTTAGTTTTCAGCAAAATAACGAGCTGGCTTTACATTTCATTCGATCTCGTCCAACATTTGAACAGCCGACAGGAAGTGGAACAGCTTTGAAAGCTGCCAACAAAAGAGAACACGCGCTCGTGTTGTAAACTGGACACAAACATTCAGAGAGCTGTGACTGACAAACTGTATCGGACTGGTTTTATACATTCACAGTGCACGTGCAGCACATGCACCTTCCTGGTTGATGTCTCTCCATACGGTTTTGGTTAAAACTGCTTTAAAACAACCTTTAGCATGTTTCCCTCAACCTTGTTGAGTTTTATTTGACAAACCTTTGAAGCTGTGATGGTTTCCCTTTTGTTTTTCCGTTTCGATGACTTTGGTCCTCTTCTTGTTTGAATTAAAAATCGCTCCTCACATGTGGCTCCAGGTCGGATGGTTTTGTTTTACAAATTGCAGTAAAGTGGTTGTTAAGGCTGCACGCGTAGAGTGCTAAATAAAAATAAAAAAAAGACACGATGGAGCAAACGCTCACACACAGGCTGAACCAGACACAGGCTCCTGCAGCTCTGACGCTCCAGGTCCAAAACATGACAAGAACAAGTATTGCCTTACTTTCCACCCCTGCTCCAGTCTTTTGGGATCTTCTGGCACAGGCTGGTTTTAAGATTCATTTAAAATAAGCGGATGAGTTGTAATGATGCGAAAACACATTAAATAAGGCTTCTGTGGTTTGCAAGCAAAAAGTATGACCTCGTCACAAGTTTCCTTCAGCAGAAAAAAAAAGTGCTTCAATTAAAAACAGAAAGAATGAAAACAGCAACCAAAAGTCTATAAAATCAAATATTAAAGTTTATAAAACCTCCGTGGTTGTTTCCCGCTCAGAGCTAAACTTATTGTGGTCAGTCCCATCAGCCGCAGACGGCAGGACGGCTCTCCACAGGCAGGGGGCTGGTCTGACCCGCTCCTCGTCTCTACAAATGTCTGAGCAGCACCAGCATCCTGGATCAAACAATGCTGCTCATCTTAAGGCAAATGTGGCAAATAGAAGGGTGGCCTGATTCCAGTATGAAAAAGTCTCCAAATCAACGAACAGCCAGACGTTTGGTGGCTCGGTCTCCTCAGGTGACCCGAGTGGTTGTGTTAAAGGTGGAGACTGATCTTTCCTTCCTTGGCGAGCTGGTGGATGACCTCTGTCTCGAAGTCGGCGCTGTGAACGCCGGTCTTCCTGAAGGCACCGGCGTTGTGGTTCTGCTCCCAGTAGTGGTGCCAGTTCCCCTGCTGGTCAGCACCGTAACCGAACACCGACACCTGGACGCAAAGAGGAGTACGGAGTCAAATTACCGTAACTGTCGGTCTGTAAGCTGCTATTTTTTTTCCACAGGCTTTGAACTCCGCGGATTATACAACGTTACGGCTAATTTATGGATCTTTTTTTTTTGACGGGCTAACGAGCTTCCTGCCGCCAAAAGCATTCAGCTTTGTCACACCTGGGCGCTCACATAGCTGCCCACTACACCTCTCTTGTTGCTGATTGTTGGTCACATGGCCTCGGGGGGGGATTGTGGGTAGAATTTATGGTCATTGTCATTTTGGTTAGCTGTTTAGCATTGTTCTTTTAGCGATTAGTCTGTTCTTGTTAGTTTATGTTCATTATGTGTTAGGACATAGTCTCCATGAGCGAGGGAGGTAGTTGTAATGAAGACCTGTGGAGTTCACTCTGTCTGTGTGTGTTGAACAGGAAAATAAAGTCTATAAAACTGGTGGTTGATTCTTGATCCTCAACAGGAGCTGCACGTCTCTCAGTATCTGTGTGCCGACAGATGTTACAACATGAACGCCCACGGTTAATACAGTATATGTACACATTCTTTATTTGTGTGCGCTGCTTATAATAGGGTGTGCTCTATAAACAGGCAATTACAGTAAAGTGATTAGTCAAATGTTGTTAAGTGACTTATGAAAGAAACATTTTATAGCTAGAGAAGGTATACTTACTTTAAATCATGCACTGATTGGCCGAGATGATTTAGCTGCGATGGTTGAACGTACAGTTTTGGAAAGAAGAAAGTTTGTCTTCTTTCATCTCTAGGGTTTTACATGTCAGGACATCCAGCTGATCTAAGTTTAAAAATGAACCGATCTAACGATTTGTGTAAATATTATTCTAATACTGTTCACACACGGTGCCGATTCACTCACTCTTGGTTCAGTCTGCTCTTCTGTTGCATTTGATTAGCTAGATATTTCACAATAAATCCCAGATAAAGAGATCAATATTTTCAAACTACTGTTAAAGTTGAATGTATTTGATCAGGAAAAACGAGTATACAAGCAAAAACGTACAATTAAAAGCTTCGACTCCTTTCTCCTACCTGATCACAAGTGTGCAGAGCGAAGATGATGGTGAGCATCCCGGTGGACGGGTAGCGACCGTGGTGCTCCGTCCAGTGGTCATGAACGTACTTAAAGAACACCGGATTCACCACCAGAACCTACAGAAACACACAGGGTTTAATCATGTTTAGATCTTCCGCTCTACAAACCGAACAAGAGGGGCGCGCTGTAGTTTAGAGGTTAGTGCCGCTGTCCTGTAACTCTGAGGCCGCAGGTTTGAGCTCAGGTGTAAAACAACTGCCAAATCTTTTAAGAGTTCATGCACTGTGGAGAGCAGCTAAAAGAAAAACAAACTGAACTGAAAACAGCTAAACTCACAGCTAAATGACGATCTTTCCAGCGTTTTGTCTCAAAAATCAAACATTTTATAATTACCGACATGTTAAACGGGTCTGTGAGAAAATAAAGAGTAAAATACACTCAGTTGGACTTGGGGTCTGATTTGAATTAATTTTTCTCTGTTAAGAGCAAACATTGACAAAGAAAGGTCCAAGAGAAGGTTTTATTCTTCCAAGAACTGAATCAGATAAAATATTTACTTACTTTGTCTTTATCAGCCTTCACTCTGTCTTTAACCCTCATGTAGGTCCTGCCAACACAAACAGCAGATGTTTACATCTTTTTTTAATATATGTATATATATTTAGGCACACAAGTTCCCATAACTTGCACAACAAAGAACATGTTCAATCTCCAGGGACAAACTCTTGTGTTTAATTAATCCACACATGATTATTTGTGATCGTGACCTTTTTATAATGGCGTGCTGTAGTTTTGGTCTCATTGTGCATTTTCTTTGTATTATCTAGACATTTTTTACAAAACTATTTTCCAGAGATAAATGGATTTTGTGCTGATTATGAGACTTCCTCTGCTACTTCTGAACACTTTTTATGATTAGTACACACAGCAAAGAGTAGCTGCTTAAATGCAGGAGAAGGTCAATTAGCTTTTTAAAGCTCAACGAATACCAAAGATACCTGAGAACTTGCAGGAATGTTGTAAAGAAAAAAAAAATGTGGCGACTGGAATGAATTCCTCACATTAATCCCTCTTTACTCACTTTCAGTGTGCAGACTGAGACTGCGATGATTTATTAACAACACTGCAGAGCTGTGATTCTCAAACAGTTTATAACGAGTACCACCACAGAAATGACTAAACTGTCCAAGCAGCATCTATTGCAACACGAAATAAAACAGTAACATAAATCTGACATAAACAAGCAAACTGTAAAAATTAATAACAATTAAAAAGCGATGTTAAAAATGGGATGGATCCACGTATTTATTGCTGATCACCACATACAGTGCCAATAAAAAGTTTTCACCCTTTTGGATGGTTTTGGTTACATTATTAAAAAAAAATACCCCCCATGGCCATCCCAAACATTTGATGAAACTATATTTTTAAACAATATAAGATAGAAACAAGAAAGCATAGTTTCCTCAAAGGATAAGGAGTGACCAGTTTATATAAATATGGTGGTGGCCATCTTGGATTTTGACATGGTAACTCAGTATTAAAGAGGAACGGTTTTTTACACCTGGATGCAGCCACACACCAAAATGAAGGTCAGTACCGCTCTTGTTTTTCAAGTTATTGTGCTCACAACATGAATGGAGGGTATTTCCAATTCTCCCTTTTTGCTCCGCTCCAGGGGACAAAATGATTACTGAAAAGCAAAAGTCTGGGGGTGGATATGAAGAGTTTCATGGCCTTAACAGCTCCAGGGGTTTGGTTAAATTCGCCATCATGAAATGGAAGGAATATGGAATATTTGTAAATCTACCAAGAGCAGGACGTCCTCACAAACTGAGTGATGGTGCAAAAAATAACAATGAGAGAAGACTACTAAGACTCTGAAGGAGTTATAAGCCTCGGCAGGTGAGACGGGAGAGACATACATGCATACAACAACTCTTGCCCGAGTTCTTCCCCAGTCTAAGCTTTATGGGAGAGTGGCAAACAGAAAGCCACTGTTGAAGAAAACTCATTACATCTCGACAAATTCATATAAGCCGTTCAGAGAATTGTATGCACAGAAGAAGACGTGACGTCACACGCAGCACGCTGTGGTTACAGAAGTAAATACGGATGCTACACATGATAACACGTGTGGACCAGTTCTGAAGCTGTTGTGCAGTTAAGAGCCAGCTAATCATTATCTGAATGGCTTGCTTCGTCAAGTGTCTAAGTTTGATCTTGACACATCCTGCCGTCTCAGACGTAGAAATAACGTACTGAATTGAAAAAAAACAAATTCAAGGATCAGTCCCCTCCTGCTAAGATCATTATACATTCTGAAGCCAACGCTAGCATCATACGTTGGTGGAGATTCTCAGTAATCAGTAGTGTCTCATTTAATACCACATAAAAAGTGACCTGGGTCAGATTTTACAAAAATGGATTAACACCAGCTCCCCTGCGACTCGAAATGGAAAAATGGATGGATGATTTTACGTTAATTATTATTATTAACCTTTATTTAACCAGGCAAATCCCACTGAGATCACAGATGTCTTTTGCAAGGGAGGCCTGGACCTGAAGGAGCCTAAGATGCATGTTTTTGATCTGTGGGAGGAAACCGGAGTACCCGGAGAAAACCCACGCAAGCACAAGAAAATGCAAACGCCACAAAGAAAAACCCCAGGTCCAACCGGGGATTGAACCCAGGACCTTCTTGCTGTGAGGCAACAGTGCTAACCACAGAGTCGTTGTGTTGCCAAATAATAATTAATAATTTACCAAATCTGCCTTCAGAATAAATTATTTCTCGCATTTTTAATTAAACAAAAACATTGCCACACTCAACTGAAAATAGTAAAATTTTGTATTGATTCAAAAATACATGTCAATTTATGCATGATTTACGTTTAAAACCAGTTCCCTAAACAGTCTTTGCCTTAGTGTATTTGAATGTGGCTGAATGTTTGGTTTACTGGAAATGTTTGGTGTACAGGTTTTAGTCATTTTTGTTAAAATACATTTTACATCTTAATGTTTTGTTTCTTAATCCATTTGTTGTACATTTTGATTTGGCCTGTTGACAGTGCGCTGGTCAGCCACTCCAGGTCTCTCAGTTTGAACGGCAGCAGGATGAGGCTGACACCAGGATCAAGGTCCATGGCACTCTCCGGGTACATGATGTGGTGCGTTGTACGGTTCCCCACATCTTTTTCAAAGCCTCGAGTTATCGCCTTGTTTATTCTGAAAAAGGAGGAGGAGGTTGAGAAGAAGGGTGTGTCCTGCGTCCGAGCACTTTATGCATCTGTGTTGGCATCGATCTGGACATACAGACCGGATTACGAAGCTGTGAGAGTTGATCAGTTCACCGTGGCCAGAATTTCGCAGGTTGCCAGAGTTGCCAACAACTGCACATTTACGACAGAGTGATGGGTGGGGATGTGTGTCCACAGTGGGTGGGGAAATGACCTGGAACATTTTTGACGTCACGCCCTCTAAAGTCTGATCTTTACCAGACTTCTGAAGACCCTGTGGAGCACAAAGTAACATTTATAATCGAACATGAGAGACAAACGTAGGATTTAGTAACATTTTTCTGTGAACTTGCAGATCATAACTAAATAAGGACAACACTTTCAGGCGTATAAGAACATAAAATAAATAAAACAGATTCTTTAACAGTGAACCTCTTAGTTATAGTTCAGCTCCAGGCTGCAAACGGTGGACCAGAGTGATGATGTTTGCAGCTTTACCACCCCTCCTCCTTTTAATTTGCTAATGGTTTCTAACAGCAAGCCTCAATCTATGAATGCAGGGGAAAGACTTGAAACATTTGTCTCCTGATGCAGACTGCTGACAGCTTCCAAAAGGACCAGTCTTAAACATTTTCATGACCGGACCCAGCCACCAGCTAAAACATCACAGTATATATTTTGACACTCTCTGTAGGTCTTTAAAACCAACTCCTTTCTTGTGATTCAGCCCATTAGTGGTAAAATACAGTATGAGTGTGAAGATGAGCAAAAATGTCTTGTATTTCCGGTTACTCAAACCGTTATTGCACCCTAACCACAACCCAATGCTGTAAAATGCAATAACAGTCATTACATTTTTGTTGATTTATTCCAGAGCTTGGCCTATTTTCATGAACGTGGTTTGCAAAATTATATTCTAGGATGTGCAACACAGTGGCTTAGCACTGTTGCCTCACAACGAAATGGTATTTAGCTCAGACAATAATTGAGTTTCACTTTCATTTCAACATAACATTCAAGATAAAACCTAGATTTTAAAATACTTCAATAAAAGAGGACAGTAACAAACAATTTTTGTACTGCTGTCTCCTCACCAGCCACCAACTAAGTGCATCTTGCTCAAAGTTGTTGTTAGCACGGAGGATGGGTTGCTGTTGAGGGTCGTAGTGTTTGCTGAACCAGTCAGAACCCTCGAGGTCTGAAACGCAGGACTCTGTGCAACTGCATGACCTGAAGGAGGACACGGAGAAGTCAGACAGGATCCGAACAGGGAATTATGGGGCAGAGCTTACAAACCTCGAAGCATTACCTTGGGTGGTTCTTGCCTTTAATCTGCTTTTCCTCGGTTCCTCTGTCCTCATCTTCGGACCGAGTGGTGCTGGGAGGAAGACGGGTCAAGTCATCAAGAGGCACTGCAAGTTTATCCTCTGCAAATGAACAAAAACAAACTGTCAATGAAAAGTGAGCGCTGGAAATTCTCTCTTTGACTAGTTTTATTATTTTAGGTCGAGGTTAGTTCACTGCCTCATTAGAGCGCAACGTTTTGTTGGGAGCTCAAACTGAAGGTATTTTTACCTAAGACAAACAAACACAAGGAAATCTATAGAAATATATTGAGCAACCAAAGAAATAAGTTGATCAGCCTCTAAATTGTTCAAGTCCCATTTTGACGAAGTATTTGCAAAATACATTAACAAACATTTACTCCGCCAAACCAAAGAGAAAACGGATCTGGGTCCAACTGTATATTGTTTATATCCAGACGTTTGAACTGAAACTGAAAGTTGAAGCCAGAATGGGGCCAGCTTCCCTGCTGTCTGGTTCCAGTACATGCAGTGGTGGGCACAGCTAACCAGAAAGTTAACTTCGCTCACCGCTAATTTTTTAATAAAATAATAGCTTACCTAATGTTAAATGGATAAAAAAAAATAGAAGAAGCTAATACTGTTATCATACACTGCTGTCGCTGACACTGTAAAAATGTACTGACAACGTAAGTGAACACAACTCAAAACAACAAAAAGGACTAAATCATGTCATCTGGACCAGTTTCTTTAAGTGAGAAACGTTTCATCTCACTTACAGAAACTGATCCAGCTGACATGATTTAATCTTTTTTGTTGTTATCTCCCTGGATGATTGGGCTTACAACTCTTCTTCTGAACCACTTTGGCCGTGGTTGTCCTCAGGCTGTTTCTGTGAGTAGCAAGTTGGCCATCTGGCCTAAAACATTTGATTGTTGTGCATGATGATTGAATGTTTTGGATGGGTGTGCCCTGTGTGCAGAGGAAGTCCTCTGGATGGGGGATGAAACGTTTTTCACTTAAAGAAACTGGTCCAGATGACATGATTTAGCCCTTTTTTGTTGTTATCTACCTGGACGATTGAGCTTACAACCCTTCTACAACTCAAAGCGGTTCATAAATCACAACTTGTGATTTATGAACCGCTTTACTTGTGATTCATAAGTAAAGCATCCTTGTCCCCTTCAGAAATGAATCCGGTCATTCAAAGAGGCGGAGCAGAACTCTGCTGTGCTGAAGCAGAGTGATGCATTCAATGCGTGTCAGACATTTCGTTTGTGTCATTTACTATAATGAATTAATTCACTTTGGCGATCCTCTTTGTGGTTAACTACTTTTTTAAACTAACGGCAAAGTTGCTGTGTGTCATCATCAATAATATTCTCGATGATATATCTGTTTGTATTAAAGTAAAGATGTGTGAAATCATATGTGAGAGAGTCACGTCCCAGAGACAGTGCGAGTGTTGCAAAGCATGCTGGGTAGGAATTATGTGCAATGTTTCTGACTGTTTACGATGCTTCTGAGTGTGAAAATGTATTTTTCATGTTATTTTCCTGTTCTGGTTTGGTTTAGCATTTATGTTCAAGTTTCTGTTACTGGATGTAAACTGACATCATGAGTCAGAGACTATTAGCGGTTGATCTGAGGGGAAAAGCAATGTGAGGGTGGTGACATCACTGGGTGGTGCTAACCTTTGCTTAGCTCTGCATAGCATAGTATCACATCGCTCTGTGTAAGTCGTCATTCTCCTGTATGCTTTTACTGTGAATAATTGTCTTTTAAAAAATTTAAAGGACTTCAATTGATCAGATTTAAATGTAGTGGAAGTTATTTCTGCTAAAGGTACTAAAAGCTAGCGAAAACGCTAAACCACTAAACGTTAGCTCTGCTATTAGCAGATTAGTGGAACCATGGCCCCCCCGCTGAGTACAGGTTACAAGACCCATCACATCCAGGTAAACAAGTGGAACATTGCCCTTGGTAAATAATAAAAAATAAATTAAAAAACATTTTAAAAAATCCCCTTAACTATTGTTTTCCAGGAGTTAACTCGTCGATTTGCTCAGATCTACCAGGCAGTTGTTTGTTTAAATTTAAACAAATATTTTCAATAGTTTAAAATGTTTTAATTATTATTGTTTGTTTAAATGTTAGTTAATGTTCCTACTATGTTTAAATATAATATATTTTATGCTTAAAGGTACTCAATACAAAGTCATAAAATCAGGTCTCTCTTGTAAATGAGTCCTCGAGGCTCAATGGGATTAACCTGTGTAAATAAAGGTTGAACGAATTAATTAATTTTCAAAAAATCATATTCAAAATCAAATTTATAAATTAGTAAAATCTGCACATTATTTTTCTTATGTCAGTGCCTTTGCTTACCTGCAGAAACAGCGGAAGTATCTGGAAATATTTCAACAATGGCAACATACATTGTTTGTAAACAAGTACACAGACAGTTCTGATGTATTGGTTTGTATTTATGCTCAGATTTGTTAAGTAAAGTATGTTAGCATTAGGCTTACATTAAAAAAACATTTTATAAAGGTGCACTTCGCAGTCTAGCAGAGGTTTTTCAAAATATGTCTTTGAAATTATATTAATAATTACTGAAAAATTAATATCTATGAGTAGTTTTAAGTGTTTCAGTTGGTAATACTGCTTTTACTAATCCCACTAAATCAACTCACCTACTAGAGTTAAACATCTAATTGGGTTATTACTTTTTTTCAACTTTACTACTACTGTTCCTTTTTATATGTACCGCACCGTTAATCTGTAAATGTTACTAACGCTATCACACATGAAGTAACTTTTATATGAACTAAAATTATTTCTACTTAGTACATTTATTTGTTTTCACACCCTCTTCTTACCTGTCTCCCTGCTGGTTGGAGTGGTCCAGCTGTTCAACTGGGTCTGTGCCAGTGGCAGGTAATGTTTCGTATGGACGCTCTGGCTTGCAAGCATGAGGAGGAAGATAGCAGCAACAATCCCCAAGAAAACATACAGCTTCCTTTTACACAACATGACTGAATGAGCGATGAGTGGGTTATAGTAGGAGGAAGGACCTGTCGCTGAAGCTGTCGCTTTTTACGTATGTGAATGTTTCAGTGACCTGAGATGACTTCCGCTGTGACTTGGCGTTATATAAATAAACTGAACTGAATTGAACCGTCCAGTGATGTTACGTGAACATAGTAGTTGTCATCTGGCCACTTTCCTCTGCTCTGTCAAGTCTCCTTTCAGTTTCATCATCTTGAAGCCAGAGTCCAGTCCAGCGTTGCTTCTAAATAGTGGGGACAGGATCTACAGTGGCAAAAAGAAAAGCAGTGGCATGTTAATCTAAAACTTTTCTTTTCCTTTTTTGTAACTGTACTGCAATATATAATTTTTTTAGATGAATAAAAAACAAATAATTAACATTCATTTTCCACACATTTCAAAATATTTTATTATTAAAATGAAAGAAATCACGCACATCACGTTATTTTTTTTTTCGAGTCCTAAAAGAAATGTAAGAACATCCTGTCCCTAATGATGGGATGTCCTGAATGTGCAGAGCTTTGGAAAGTAATTTATCCAAACAATACCAGGAATTCAGTCATAACAGAATAATGACATGGTTGAGTCAGGTACTCTGGATGGGTTCTTCTTTGCTGAAACGTTTCGTCTTTAATCCAAAAGATCTTCAGTCTGAGATGCTGCAACAAACTCTGACTTATAAGCAGCACCATCTCATAATGGATCAACCAGTTTGCTGGTGACAGCCAAAACTAGTTATTCACATGTAAAAGGAGGAACCATCAGCTTAACGATTGATCGTTAGTGCCCTGATGGCTGCTTGATTGAGAGATACTTGCAATAATAGTATTATAAGAGGGAGACGAATGACATGACACCATCTAAAAATCAATGCAGTAGGCTCGTCAGCAACTGACCAATCGACTATCGCAATTTGTCCCAAAGTGAAACGTCCCATATCTGCAGGAGCGGCGCCTCCTTTTCCTCTGACAACATTGTTGGGGTTCTGCATTACAAACGCTTTGCAGTCAGAGGGATTTCATGAAAAATCCTCAGAAAAAGGTTCAACGTTGTCAGTGGGGAACATGCAATTCAGACAGCGTTACCCGGAGCGTTTAGAGGATGTAGTACAGTTTATTCCATTTCCAAAACCTAAACGGAGTCTGTAAAAAATGTCAAAGATGGATAAAGGCTGGAGGCTGACCTCATGAGCAGCTGGATACAACAGTTATCAAGAACTGCCACATGTTCGTCTGTATGAAGGCGCTAAATGAACTGCAAGTAACTCTTATGTGGTCACAATTACTTTGTATGCTTATTGGTTACATTCAAGGTTAATGCTTAAAGCCAGCTGTGCTTTGTTTTTTTTGTTTGTAGATATATCAGTGTTTCCCCTACCATTATACAGGCGGGGTGCCCCACCCCGCCAACAAAACTGAGCACCCCGCCTACCAAACTGAACTTGCCCCACCCCCACCCGGCACTGACATATCACTAAGCTAGCAGCACAAAATACAGGCTCTCTAGCTAAAAAGCCCAAGGCAGCACTCACATGGCCTCTTCCCTCATGTTGAACGCCCCCCCGCCCCCGCTCAAAAACTGTTAGTACAAGCTGCGCTCAGACATGCCTCCGTCCCCCCCATCAGCAAAAATCATGGATGAGATGAGCACCCCGCCATGGCAAGCTAACTAGGGGAAACACTGTATATGTTGCAACTTCGGGTTGCATAAGTTTAGTCTCTGTTTGCTATGATTAGTTAAAACTAAAATGATTTTGCAAAAAGCGTTTATTTGTTTGTGTAATGTAAAATGTACACTCTTTGTACATACTGAATTTCACTGTAAATTATTGCCATGTGTTGTTCTGTGGCATGAAAACATCTACTGCAGTAATTATTTTAAGTTATTAGCATCTTTTAAAAATTCTTCTGCCTTCTTTGCCTTAATTTTGGCCTTTCAGGCAAAAACGCCTCACCAAATGCCTCAGGTAACACTGGGAACCTAATTACCTCCACCATTACAGCTACCTTGTTTGTTTGACAGAGGTTCGCTCACCCTGGGTTACATTTCCACATGTGCGGAGCAATCTTACCATTCGTGTCGTGTCAAGTGGACACGAAGGCTTCTGCACTTGTTCAACAACTGAAATTTTCTTTTACTTTTTGAGTCAACGCTCCTCTCTATCAAGGTTGAGCACATTTCACATGAAATTTCGTTTTGCTTCGGAGCAATGACAGTAAAGCTGATTCTGATAATTCTGAACTTCATCCCTGAAAGAGTGACTGCTGGCCTGCAGATGGCCACTGGCCTTCATTCCTCTTCATAACTCTCCCACATTTTGAAAATCCCTGCTGCTGATCATAAAAGAAGGGGTACCTTTATGCTACACCACCAAAAATTTAACTAAAATTAAATATTATTATCATCCCTAATATAATTATCTACTACCACTACTACTACTGTCAACAGAACCGAGCACCCTGCCTACCAAACAACCCCGCAAATAACATTAATAATAATAATAATAATAAAAATAATAATAATGTCCATTGTTGCTGTAGCTATTATTATTTCAAAGATTTTATTTAACTGCCTTTTTGTTACTAATTGAACTGCTGTGTGTTGACGCACTTCGCTACGTTTGAATTGCGTTTGCATTGTGTTACGTTTGTACTGGCTGGGGAGAGGGACGTCTGGGTTCCTGTCCTGGACCTGTTGCCTCCACGACCCGATAATGGACAAAAGGTAGAAGTTGGATGGATGGATGGAATAAAAACTATGTTTTGACTCAGCTGATGTGACTGTCATTACTTTTTGCTGCTGATGATAAAAACTGAAAGGTGATTTTTATCAAAGACAAAAAAAACAACACTGCCCCGGACTTTGAGAAACAGAAAGAGAAGCAGAGCCAAAGCTCTTGATCTTTGGCAAAGAATAGTGTCACCCTCTTCCTCCCCCTCCCTCCTCCTTTTCTGCATCACCTCTTCTTTGCTCCTGCAGGAATGTTTCCCTGAAGACAAACTCTGTCCCTGAATACCAATCAGATCTGGAATCAGTTCAGCTCCTCCCAATTCAGCTTTTAACTTCACTTCTGTCTACTTCACTGGGTCTTAGTCGTAGGTTATTGTGTGCCCTGAACTTCCTCTTTGTTTTTGCTGTGTTTACACCAACAAACCCATACAGACTCATTAAAACATAATTATAAAAACAACTAATATAGCTATACACGCACGGGCTTCCTTTGCATTATTATCTAAAAGTACTTTTCATACTAAATATGGCCGCTCTTCTACAATTATTGTGTAAATCCAGGTAATATAAAAGTAAATACTGGGTAATTGTTGGGAAGGTAAATAAAATTTAAATTTTTAGTATTTTTGGAGATCCTGTCATCTTTAAAATTATTAATATTATCAGGAAAATTTTCAGGTTGTCCAGTGGACAAGCTCTTCTGGTTGTTTGCCCAAATTTTTGGTTGTCTGCAACCTTTATAATAAAGAAGGTTAAAAAAAAAAAAAAAAAACTCAAGAAAAATGTAATTTAATGAGCATGTTTCATTATATACAAAGTTAACTATATGTTCTCAGTCAGCCATCTTGTGGACATTTTGGTATTTCCAAGCAACTGAATCTTCATCCAATTAATTTCAGTTTATTTATACAGCGCCGTCACAACAGAAGTCATCTCAGGGCTCTGAACAGAAGATGCTTGAGTGGAACGTCCTTGCTTTTACAAGAGGCACTTTCAGAATATTTAAGGCAGGGATTAAAGCAGAAAAAAAATATTTTGATTTAACTTTTTTTATGCACCTATTTCTGTGATGGAGTTAAATTCAAAGCAGTCTGCTCCTCAGATAAATAGTGTGAACTTGTTGTTTTTTATATATGAATGTTTCTGTTCAGTGCCCTGAGACAACTTCTTTTGTGACTTGGCGCTATAGAAATAAACTGAACTGAATATAATTATAATTGTATAACTTTAACAAAAGTAATGAGTTATTGATCAAAATTAGGCTTTTAAAAAATAGGTGTTAATCAGGTCTTACTCCTAAATTATATATTTATTAATTTTTATTATATTATCAGAATACTTTATTAAACTCAGAGTGAAACTGACTTTGTTCCGGTTGCATCATGCAAAGGTATAAAAAGGTAAACATATAAAAGTATATATACACCTGAGCAAAAATAAAAACAACAAGGAAGATTAAAAATATAAAAATATCAATAAAAATCCAAATTTAATATACAGTGTTCAAAATGTGCGTTGAGAGAAATGTGGGATTTTGTTTATGCACTCAGTGACACAGAGGCAACAGAGATGTAACCCAGAGCACTCAGGCCGACTGGAAAAAGAGATAAGCAGCATTTGACACGCACTAGCAACCTCATTATTGTAATCAGCCTAAAATAACTACAAGAAATGCCTAGTCACATTACGTACCCAACAGATACACAAAACTGCTTAAAAAGCTGCACAGGATTGACATCTCGTTTGTCCCGATGAACTCCCTGACGGTAATTAGATGAACTAGCTCTGGCAAATGTAAATACGTTCTTAAAACTTATCTTGGATTTCTTGGACAGAATGTTTGTTCACAATAAAATGAACAACTTGAAACAGCTGGTTTATTTAAAAAAAATACAATAAAAAATAGCTAACATTCAATTAGGACAATATGATAAAGTGGAAGGGTTTTGTGGTAAAAAATTCAATTGAAATGAGTCAGAAGGGCTAAAAACTCTTGGTATTTTATATTCTGTATATCCATTGAGTCTGAAAGTACAAGTACACTAGTCCCTTGTTTATCGCAGGGGATCCGTACCCTGAAGCCCCGCGATAAGTGAAAAACTGCGAACTAGGAATAGTATTACAAGTAGTAAGTAATAGTTTATTTTAGTATAAATTAAGGTGTTTTAAACCTTTCCCACACTATTGCAATATTCTAAACAATGTTTCTAAACTAAAAACTCTAAAAGAGCACAGAATGTCATATCACCTTCTCTCTGCCTCCACTGCTCTCAGCCACCTACAAGTGTTCTTGGCCACGCCCAGTTCTCAGCTGCACGGAGAACAGCTGATCAGCTGCAGCAGGAAGCTTATCCTGCAGTGTGGGCTGCACTAAATAATTTAATATTATTTAAAATAAAAATTCCATGCCGATCGCGCGGATCATCCATCAAACAGCCAATTGTGTGTTATGTCCAATCTTATTTTGAAAAACCGTGATAAAGTCTGCAAAAAAACTAACCGCGAAGTAGTGAGGGGCTACTGTACAATAAAAA